TCCAAGCCGTGCCACACATTCTGGAGGAGTACGATACTAGCTGGATGGTTGGGACTTCCGAAGAAGTAGGATGGGGTATCGACTTCGACCCCGACGTGTACTACAAAGGAGTATGACCCTGACCGAAGGAGTAGTCCTAAGGGGACTCTCAACCTCGACTTTATTCGTATGTCCCGCATGAGCACGTTATTGGTCGAGGAAATTTTACTTCAGAGGAAGCGACCCACGGGGCAGCTCTTATTAGATGTCAACTCCGACCTTATTCACATCCGATGAAGTACGTTATTGATTGGAGGAATTACGCTTTCGGAGGAAACGAACCGTGAGACGGTCAGACTAGATACATATAGAGAGACTCACCAGTCTATGTTACGCATCCAATGGAGTACGCCGTTCGGCCTGATGAGTTAGATGATGTGGTCCTATCCTAACTGGGGCGTGTATCTGGGAGAGTGCGACGCTTGCTCAGGATAGGAAGATAGGCGTTCCCGAGGGGAACTGATATCTTGGCCACTGGTGGACATCTCCCTGGAGGGATTTTACTTCTTGCTTCGTAAGGCACTAGACAAGAAGCCGTCTTACCCCCACTCATCGACACAATACAACGACGCGGGCTAAGACACCGGCCCAAAGACCAAAGGTGGCACCGTTGGATGGATGAATAGATGTTCCCTGCGTTATGGGGCGCTAACGCAAAGAGGAGTCGCTACTCGAATGCAGCTGGTGCAAAGTAGGGCATTTCCCGAGGGCGTTACCTCGACTCCCTTACTGCCTGGACAGTCTTCGCGTTGTGCTTACACGGAAGTTTATGGGTTTTGAGAAAGTGCTTGTGACATTCCCCGAAGGGGAAGAGGTTGGGAAGTTATCAGGAAGGAAAAGCTTGCGAGTCGGCGACCTCAATTCCTGTTGTGCCTGAGTGGCAAGCATATCCTAGTGAAGAGCATGCTGGTTTGTCGCTCGGCCCAATAGTGGGGACTGGCGGGGAAGATCCGGAAATCTAAGAGGCATGAGTCCTAAAATCCTGGGGGGATACTGTCCCAAAGGACGAGCAAGTTCATGGGAAAGCATGCTTAGGGTGTGCGTGGTCCCCGGGGGGATCTGTCACGGGACGAGCCACTGGTGCTTTCTGTACCGGAGTCCCGAATTCCCAGAGGAATGAAGAACCGGAGGATAGGCGAGTCCGCGGGGGAGCACGCCAAGAAGAGGAGATTCGAAGGGGATTACAGATAAGACAGAGGAGGATTACTTATTTGGTATGCAGGCTAAGGGTGTGATAGGACAAACAAGTGACTCTATGGTTATGCTTGGAAACATCGTGTGCTTACACAAGCAATGAATCGAATTAATCATGCAAGCAAGAAATCAAGCAAGCAAGAAATTAAGCAATCAAGCAAGCAAGAAATCAAGCAAGTAAGAAATCAAGCAATCAAGCAGGCAAGAAATCAAACATGACCTTAGTGACCGAGACCGTATTAGGGACGGTCACGTTTCGTCCATGGTTATGGGTTCCGTAAAATCCGTCATGGGACCCGTGCTACCCGAATGGTTATGTTTGACCCACATGCGTGGCCATCATGCCACCGGTCCCTGGAACCGACTCCTCCCGGGAGCGTATGGCGGTTATCCTGTAAGGGTGCAAAATTCATATATTTGCAACTGTTCGTCAGTTGATTTTCAGAAGACCTTCAGTAGGGTTTGTGTTCTTCTTTCGAGCCTTCCCGCCCAAATCTCTAGGGTTTGGCGAGTGCGGTCCACGTGGCGAGCCTTTGGTAGTTCAAAGCACAGCACGTCACTTCACACAGCGTGCACCACTTCCTCGAGAGCCACCGGTCACCTTTTCTGCTGTGGCGGGCTCCTTTTCTCTCTCCGCATTAAATGCGTGTCACTTCCCACGCACGGTTTGAGAGATTGATAATTACTAAACCACCACTGACTTTTGACCGACGCGATTCCTCTCACGTGCCTCTTCAGTTTCATCTTCTCTTATAAAACCGCGAAGTCCGCAGTTCTATGGTTTTACTCTATTTTCGAAGCAAACCCTAGAACTCTTCCTCCTTAAGTTTTCTCTCTTTTTCTGCCACACATCCCTCTTCTCATTCATTTGAGATGGCGGCTTCGAGTTCATCCGGCGAGTGGGACGCACAATTTTCATGGTCCTGGGGCGAGGTCGAAGACATCGCTCGGACACCTCCAGCGGAGGCGCCTTCCGACCATCCTCCATCGAGGTGCACACTGGACTCTCGGAAGCAAATTTTGGGATGCCATGTGGGGATATACGATTCGTCGGGGAGATGGAGCTGAGCCTCCGAGTTTCGTCCTTTGGGGACAAAGGTCGCGAGTCATGCCAGGGCAGAAGCCTTCGATGCCAGGATGGCGGGTCAGCCGTCATGGTGAATCCTGTAAACACTCAAGGAATGGTCAGATGGGGCTCCGGGAGGACCAAAGGTTCTCCGATGCCCAAGTCAGTGGACGCCCTACTAGGAACAAGTACCCAGGAGGAGAGCTTTCTACGAGTTAGTGTGAGGAGTCTAGTCTGGAGATCGAGGCTTCTATCTGTTTCCGTGTGTTTTGAAGGAGTTTCTATACGATAAATGAAGATGCAGAGAGTATGAAGGCGAGGTTCCGGGTCAGGAGTGGCTTAACCTGGAAGGTATTCACCCGAGAAGAACATGGAGTTCACCCGTGATCATGCTGTTTTCTTGAGCCGACTGATTCAGATGCAAGTAGTTACCTCCTCTTATAGAGGGGTTTTTTCTGATCCGATCAGTCCTCCCTTTTCTCTCTTCTTTTCTTTCTGGTCTGATCCGATCAATCCTTTCTTATTTATACTTGCGGCCTCCTTGTTTTGTTTTTTCCATCCAGCGCGCCAAGAGAGCAGGTGAAGCTAATGATTCTAGCGTGTTCGGGGAAGCTCGTCAACTGTCCTGGAACAGTACACGAGAGTGGTTCGGCCGAGCTAGCAAGGCGTGTGTCAGTGTTTGGCGCAGTACAAGTCCACGTATCTAGCCTTCTCTCAATCTAGTAAAATCGGTCCCAACAACGAGATTTTATAATATATTTTTTTAAGACTACTATAATTTCTACAAAAGATTCGCAATATTAAAAAGTATATTACAAATATAATAGTTAAAATATAAAAAAAACTTGTATACCTTAAAATAACATATATAATATATATATATATGAATTTGTTTCATTACATAAATATATTTCTCTGAAATTAGAAAAAAGAATCTAAATATTAGGTATTTTAAATTTATAAACAACTAGCAAAGAAAATTAAATTTGAAAATAACACAATTAACTATAAATATATAGATGTCCTAAACAAAAATATATATAACATAATATATATTAGTAAACAAAATACATATAATTTCTTTATAATAAAAATATCTTTAGATTTTGGTTAAATAACTTTTATTTTTATGATGTAATGCGTATAAAACAATTTTGTTATGAAACTGCTCATATATTAGCCAAAACTGAACCCCCAAATGAAATTTTTTACTTAGATTCAATATCTGAACCTCCAGAATTTTAAACACTTTATATTATAATAATATGTTATGATAAATAAATATGTTTACGATAAAAAAAACCCACCATAGTAAGAAAGTAAAAGTTAGACCCAAATGATTTTTGTGTAGTTTTGAGCAATATAAATAGTTTAAAAAAGATACAAATAAAAATTATGATGAAAAAATGCAACCATTTATAATGAAAAATGCAACTATTTATAATAAAAGGACGCAACCAAAATGTTTAAAACGACATAATTTTTTAAAGTGTAAATGACATTTATTCGGATTATTAACAAAAAATTAAATAACATAATATATATTAGTAAACAAAACACATGTAATTTATTTATAATAAAAATATCATTAGATTTTAGTTGAATAAATTTTATTTTTCTGGTGTAATGCATGTAAAACAGTCTTGTAATGAAACTTATCATACTTTAGCCAAAATTAGACCCCCCAAATAGAATTTTCTACTCAAATTAAATATCTGAACCTCCATGACTTTTAAATACTTTGTATCCTAATAATATGTTATGATAAATAAATAAGTTTACGACAAAAAAACTTACTATAGTAAAAAAAGTAAATGTTAGATCCAAATAATTTTTTTCTGTAGTTTTGAGCAATATAAATAATTTTGAAAAAACACAAATTACAACTGTGATGAAAAACGCAACTATTTATAATGAAAAGACACAACTACAAATTTTGAAACGACAAAACATTTTAATGTGTAAGTGGTATTTATTCGGATTGTTTAGGACAAAAAAACCCACCATAGTAAAAAAGTAAAAGTTAGACCCAAATGATTTTATTCTGTGGTTTTGAGCAATATAAATAGTTTTGAAAAGACACAAATTATAGTTGTGATGAAAAAAGCACAACCATTTATGATGAAAAGATGCAACCATTTATAATGAAAAGACGCAACTCCAAATTTTGAAATAACACAACTTTTTAAAGTGTAAATAGCATTTATTCATATTGCTAATAAAAAATAAATAACATAATATATTTGTAAACAAAACACATATAATTTCTTTATAATAGAAATATCATTAGATTTTAGTTGAATAAATTTTATTTTTCTGATGTAATGCATGTAAAACAATTTTATAATGAAACTGCTCATATTTAGCTAAAATTGGACCCCAAATGAAATCTTTCACTCAAATTTAATATCTGAACTTCTAAGACTTTTAGATGCTTTGTATCCTGATAATATATTATGATAAATAAATAAATTTATGACAAAATAACTTACTATAGTAAGAATGTAAAAGTTAGATCTAAATAATTTTCTTTCTGTGGTTTTGAACAATATAAATAGTTTTGAAAAGACACAAATTATAGTTAATAAAAAAATGCAACCATTTATAATAAATAAATACAATTATTTATAATGAAAAGGCATAACCATAAATTTAAAGAAAAAGACGCAATTTTTCAAAATGTAATTGCTATATGTTAAATCGGGCAAACTACTTTATATTTTTATTTGGGACGGGGTTTTAGCAATTCGGCTATTAATCAACGATATTTGGGCTGGGCCTAAATCAGAGTTTTTAGGGGGAGTCCAGTTCATTTGGTAAATCTCGACCAACCCGACCCGGATGAGAGGTTAGCCCACCACGCAACGTCCGTCGGAGGAAGGATCACACCGCGCGACGGAAACGAAACGACGAACACGAAATAGCGGAAAACGTCAAAAATCTCTAGATCGGTTTTGAATCACAGATAACGATGTCGGCGCTGCTCACGGCCGGCGGAGGCTTAACTGCCGGAGATCGCAGCATCATCACGGCGATTAACACCGGCGCGTCGAGTCTCTCGTTCGTCGGCTCAGCATTCATCGTCCTCTGCTATTGCCTCTTCAAAGAACTCCGGAAATTCTCTTTCAAGCTCGTCTTCTACCTTGCTCTCTCCGTAAGTTTCCAGTTCTCGTCTCTGATTTTTGAGCCAGACGCTGATTCGTACTAGTGCCCAGCAAAAAAATCAAGCTAGATCTAGGATCATGTACTGTTTCTGCTTCTTTATTCACCTATTTCCGCATTTCGAAGTGCTATATCGTTAACATTGCGTACGGATTAAGCTTAGTTGTTATGATTTTCGAGCTCTATTGCTGATTATCGATGATGTTTCCATTGATTGCAGGATATGCTTTGCAGTTTCTTCCTGATTGTTGGGTATGCTCCTTTTTTCCACTCACTATCAGTTTTTTTGGTGACTCTTCTTGAGATTGTTCCTAAGATGATTGCTTACACTCTTTGATCATGTAGGGATCCTTCAAAGGGGTTCATCTGTTATGCACAAGGCTACACAACACATTTCTTCTGCGTAGCTTCGTTCTTGTGGACAACCACAATTGCTTTCACTCTTCACCGTACTGTGGTTAAGCATAAAACTGATGTGGAGGATTTGGAGGCCATGTTTCACTTGTATGTCTGGGGTATGCGAAAAGATAAAACTTTTTCTTTTATATCAATGATTTTGGTAATCTCTTGGGTTTATCTGCTTTGGTGATTTAGTCTGATTTGGTCTAATTTTTTTCCCAGGAACTTCTTTGGTTGTCACTGTCATACGTTCTTTTGGTAATAACCACTCACATATGGGACCGTGGTGCTATACACAAACTGGTCTTAAGGGAAAGGTAAGAGAGAAGCCTTAGTTACGCAAAAAGAGTTCAATTCCCGAGTTGTGTCATTGCATCTCAACCTCTCGAACTTTTGCAGGCTGTTCATTTTTTAACTTTCTACGCTCCTCTTTGGGGAGCCATTCTCTACAATGGGTTTACGTACTTCCAAGTGATACGGATGCTAAGAAATGCTAGACGTGTATGTAAACATTGTCTTCTGAAAAGTAGTCACATAACATCACTGATATGCACTTGGGCTGTGTACTGATGATATGGCGAATGTTAATTTCAGATGGCGGTTGGAATGTCAGACCGAGTCGATTCAATTGATGGTAGAGCAGAGTCAAAGGTATGTCTTCGCTGTTCTAGCTCTGCGTCTCGTGGCTGGCTTGGCTTTGTTTCATAGTGTAAACCTAACCGCTTGTTTCCTGAAACGACAGGTGTTGAACCGATGGGGATACTATCCACTCATTCTAATAGGATCGTGGGCATTCGGTACTATCAACCGCATTCATGATTTCGTCGAGCCAGGGCATAAGATCTTCTGGCTCTCAGCTCTCGACGTGGGAACAGCTGCACTAATGGTACCAAAACCTTGCAAAAAACATTAAAGACACCAATCATAGATCATCTTTTCTGATCTGATCTAAAGTCGCTGTTCTGAATATTGTATTTTCAGGGCTTGTTCAATTCAATAGCATATGGTCTCAACAGCTCAGTGCGCCGAGCAATCCATGAGAGATTTGAACTGTAAGTCACCACCATTCTCTTTGGTATGCTATATTCCAAAGAGTCAATGAAGCTTGATTTTCCTGAACTAAAACTGAAACCCTTGGTTCTGCTAGGTTCTTGCCGGAACGGCTATATCGATGGCTTCCAAGCAATTTAAGACCAAAGAGCCACCATCTGATTATGCACCAGCAACAACAACAACAACGAAGCGAAATGGTCTCACTCAAGACCGAGGAACAGCAATGACCTCTAACTTTTCAACATTGTAACTCATGAACCGGTAATAAGGCGGCGGGTGTGATAATACAATTTGGTTTGGATGGAGATTGGTAAGCTTTTGTTTGTTTGTTTTGTCTTTAATTTCCTTTTAACGTTTATAAGTACCAATATGTGTCTTCTTTCTCTTTCTTTTAGATATGATGGTGAAGGAGATGCACAACAATTCGTCAATGTATATATGAATCATTCTTTGTTAACACGAACTTGAACGTCATTATTTTCTTGTATGAACAAAAATTATTGGGAGGTCTTTTGATCCTTACCTGCTGAATGAAGTTATCGAACTTGCAAGAAGATTTCTTACAAAACAAATTATTGGTAGCTTTGTTCCAAAGATTTCATCATGGACTTTAGAAAACAGAATTTAGGAGAGTAATTCAAAAAAGGTTGTTTCTTTTTCGTTTCAAATCGATGAGCGAATTATAATAGTCAACAATATTAGGACTTTAGAAAACAGCCATACCATCTCCTTACAAAAAACTCATATGAAGCCTGCAAAAGCTTACCCTCTTCTTCTACAAATGCATTGATTAACGCAGTGAAAGTGATTACACCGTGGCTAATTAGGCTAATTTTCCTCTTTATCAAATTGATCATAAGGGGAAAAGATATAAAAGCCCCGATGTAGTCACTTTCAATGCATTGCTCGACGCAACAACTGGTTAAAAACTGAGTTTCGTCATCTTGATTGGTTTCTTTCTTTCCCAGTCTCTCTGTTGAAAGAAACCTTATTAATTATATATAGATAGAAGAAAGAGAAGAAGCGGCGTAGAAAGGTGGAAGAAAAGAAACCCTAAAGTCGCGTAGCAAATAATGGGCTGAGATATGGACATAGTCGGCCCGAAATTAATTATAACGATTAATTGGTTTTGTTTCGATCTCGGTTTAACTTTCTTTTGGTTTAGCAAGTAATGAACATCCGACATTTGCATAGCTAAATCAATATATTCTGGAACCAAGCTCTTGACTTCCAAACATAGGTGTGTATATTCATGAGTTAATACCTGAAAATTCATTTTACTACATTTCAATTTTCAATGGTATTTTCCATGATAAGATATATATATATATATATACTGTATATATTTGCTGATTTGACTAACAAATTGCGCCAGATATTTGTCAGTCAAACATTCACCTGCACATTTTAAGATCAATTTATTAAAGTGATCCATAACAATATGCTAAATGGGCTTAAGCTTTCTTGAAGAAATCAATGTTTGCGAACCTAAAGTCAATAACCTTGATGAGTTGGACTAGAAGAGGTATAGTTTTGAACACAGTATAGAAGAGAGTTACTGACTTACTGTAGAGTTTTCTTGTTACTTTGATCTCAAGCAAATCCCAAATGTGGTTTTCTTTATCTTTAACTTGTTCCTATAGATATTTCAAAAAGAAGTCTTTTTTTTTTGGGATCTTTTGTGTTTTTATTCGAAATATCTTATTTTAAGACACAGAGAATACAAAATACGTATTATAAACACGCACATAATATAACATTTCATCTAACTTATTTATTAACATACGTGCATGTTTATAACATGTAACGTTAGCAACATCTCTCATTAGTTTCCTTACATTTTTATGATCATATATTTACACGTACAATTTTTTAAAAATAGCTAATTGCGGTTACAGCATATGACCAAGGTCATATTGTTTTTAAAGAAAATTACATCAAGTGTGAAGCGAGTTCACAAGCAAAGCAAAGCAAAGCAAATCACAATTATATTACACAGATTACACAGATTCATAATATACATTAAAACTTCTTCATTTGAGTAATTAAGCTGCAACAGCGTCGCTTAGAGCTTCTGCTAATGGAGCATTCTCGTTAGCATTGTTCTTCATCATTCTACCACATCCTTTGTTCTTCATCATTGTGCTTTGCTGTGGCGCCTGAGAAGAAGAGTGCTAGGTTTTTAGTTTTTACACTAGTTGAGAAGAAGAACAATGCTAGGTGTTTCAGGGTGATGACTAAGAAAAACAATGCTAGGTGCTTTGTGATGGCGCCTTCAGAAACAAGCCACCGCGAAGCACCTTGCACTGTTCTTCTTCTCAACCAGTGCAAAACACCTAGCACTCTTTTTCTCAACTGCCACTGCGAAAAACCTAGCACTCTTCTTTTTAGGCGCCACCGCGAAACACGTTCTTTTTCTTAGCTAATGTGAAACACTTAACACTTTTCTTCTCAGCCGCCACCTCGATTTGTTTATTTTATTTACCTAGATGGCTCTTTCGAGTAAAGGACTATCGTAGATATTTTTACCCTAAAAACAGAAAACGACAAACTTATATATGATTTATATCTTCTTGAAGAAAAATACATTTGACAAGTATGAACAAGAAGAGCATATTATACCTCAGAGCAATTTTTATCTGATGAATAAGTTGATTAGATCGTTTGATAGAGGAGGGCTTCTAATGAAGCAATTTATACCGGTTTCTACGTTCTTCTGTACGAAAAAACACAAAGAGACGTTACTTTCTTCTGTTTGTACTTGTCCTACCATTAGCCAAGGCCCAAGTGCTTGCTTAACCCTACAGTCAACACGACGGTTACTGGTTCTAAATAATTAGATTAGCTCTACAGTCAACAGGACGGTTATTGGTTCTCATTAATTAGTATCTTGGTCGTCATCAGTTGAAAGCAGACACTAAAAACAAAGCTTCAGTTACAAAACCGACATGTTGACGTCACTTTAAAACAGACATTTTAAACAAAGCGTCAGTTACGAAACGGATTCATCATGGGTCGAAATGGACTATGCAAATGGTCGGCACATTATAGGAAAAGAATTGTGAATTTGACTATTGTTTTGTACTCCTCTGAAAATTATTCTTGTGTTTTGTTATTACACATTCTTACGATAGATAAAGATATAAAAAAAAATATACAAATTATCTAATAACTAAAATTAAAATTAAACTATAATTGAGGTTAACGACAAGTCTGCATAAGACTTTGATTTTTGTGTAATTAATAGTATTTATACCATACACATATTTATAGGAAAATAGAAGTATATTTTTTATGTGTTAGAAAAAAAAGCAAAGTATATGTTTTGTGATACATATTTTTATAATATATGATTCGATTTTAAAGAGAAATAAATATGTATAATTATGCATGTATGTACAAGTTAGAAATAAGTGAATTGTGAAATATAGGTGTTGGTTAGTTTTTCTAATATTTTCCGCAAACGTTATGTTTCTACACAATATAATTTTTGGCATTTAACAATTACAAAACTATTTCTATTCTTTTGTATTTAATCAAACTGTCTTATTTTTCAATGTTTTGAAACCCGACCCGGAAAACAAACTGAAATGTCTATCGGGTCACTGGGTTTTCGGATTTATCTGGGTTGATCCAGATCAACCGCGGATTAACTATTTAATAAAATTTTATATAATATATATATTATATAGTTTTAAAAATAGGAAAATAGATTTAAATATAAAAAAATATAATATAAATTGTTCAAATTATTAAATATAAAAACACAACATAAATTGTTCAAAACATAATATAAGCAGGTGAAAAATAAAATTCAATGTTGATGCAAATTACAAATCTTAAAATTCAACAAAAGTTATAAAATAACAAAATTCTATAATTTAATTATAGATTATTTATTTTTTAAAAAATTGTAAAAAATTAAAATTGCTGGTTCAACCGGGTCAACGGTCACTGGGTCACAGGTTACTCGCATGTTTTTCTGGATTTTGCCAGGTTAATAAATTTTGGATTTTAAAAATAGAACCGACCCGGATAAATGACCAGGTCCCGGTTTAACCGGGCGAACCGGCCGGTCCGGGTCGGGTTTCAAAACATTTAAAAGTTATGTTAAATGTTAACAAAAATTCCAAATTTTTTTTTTCAAAATAAAAAATATAATATTTATTTTTACATTGATGTTCGGGAGCGTTTTACAGGATGCCATGTGGAAGTGTTATTCGTCCAGGCAGTGGAGCAGTGTCTCCAGGTTTCGTCCTCTGGGAGAAAGGCAACGAGTCGTTCCGGGGCGGATGTTCGCGTCCTGCAGGCACCAACGAGAGCCTGTGCGAGCCCTGTGAGTACGTACTTAAATGAGAGGCCAGTCGGGCCTTCAGGAGAACCAAAAGGGGGTTTCTCTCCCGAAAATTTTTCGACGCCCAAGTCAATGAACATCCTACCGGAAACAGATACTCACAAGGGTGATTCTACATGTTTGAGGTTAGACGTCTCATCGGGACACCTTTCTGTTTAGAGGGTGTTTCATTAGGGTTCCATAATGACAAGAGAAGTAGTGAGTATAAAGACAAGGTTCCGGGTTAAAGAGGAACTTATCCTGTTTGGCGTTATTTCGGGGGAATGGGGTGTTCCCTTTCGACTACACATCATTGTGGTCTGGCTTGTTCGGGCGGGGTCAGATCCTTTCTTCTAGGTCAGACTCTTAAGGAGGTCTCTCCTTTGATCTCTACATCTTTCTTTCTAGATTGTGATATCTCTATCCCTCTCTTTCTTTTTGGTTCTGTCTCCCCTCTCCTCCTTTCTCTTCTAAAGGTACCTCTCCTTTTATATAAGTCTTCTCCATCTTGTCCCATCCGTTCAGCGTGCCAGAGGAGCAGGTGGGTTGGTGGTGCATGCATAATTCGGGAAGTCCGCCAACTGCCCGGGGACAGTACGCTAGATAGTTGTTGGCCGAGCTAACAAGCCGTGTTAGTGTTTAGGGTGGTTCGGTACCCACATGTCACGCCATCCTTGGACGTGGTATAACTGGACCATACAATTGGATAATCTATTATTAATTTTAATTTTTCACTAAAAATTATAATAAATATTTGTTATAAAATTTATGAAATCATATATGTCACAAAATTCTTCGGTTCCAATATTGAGGAATTGGTTTATGAAGAAAATATTTTTTTTATGGTTGGTCTACATGGATGTTTTATTATAAAAATTGACCGCACATGCGTTTATTATAAAATTACTTTTTAAGATTTTTAAATGACTCTATAAAACAAAGCACGAGAGTTTTACAGAAAAATAAAACTGTAGATATTTATTTTTATTTTTACTTCAACTTCTTATTCATATTTATTTCATCTTATTATGATTTTTTTATCCGGTTATTTTTTTGTTTTATTTCTGATTTCAAATTCTCGATTTACAATGAGACTGGATATGAGTACGATATAAACTTTTTTTATTTAATAAAGATAAGAGATAAAATAAAATGGTAATTGAAGCTACATAAATTTCAGAAAACAATAATATAAAAAATATTTAAAAGTTATATACAAATAATCACATATCATACTTTCAATATTATTACTATTTAATAT